GGGAGACACCTTCTTCGGCGTCCGTCGTTGTCTCTTCTTCTTCTTCTTCTCATTCCTTCTTCTTATCTTTGCCCTTCTCTCTTAATCTTGTTGGTTTCCTAGTTTTTAATTTTATTCTTGCTTTTATATTTTTCATTTTTCAATTTTTATTTGATTTTCAATTTTTCATTTTATTCCATTTTCTATTTTATTTTTCATTTTTTTTTTCTTTTTTTTCTCTTCCTTTTTTTTCCTTTCTCTTATTAATACTCCCTCTTTTCTCCTGCACTGTATCCTTTTTTCTTACTTCGTGGTATATTTTTTATCTTTTTCCTTATCTCTTCTTCTTAGAAACTTTATATATATTCTATTTTTTCCTCAGGTCAGATCAGTTTTTTCGTTTCTCTCTTTGTCTTTTGACTTCATTTCCATCTTCGTTTTCTCTTGCTCACCATTACGTCTTATTATCTTTTACTTCAACTCGTCTTTTATCATATATTTATCTTTAATTTCCTTTTCTCTAATCTTAACACGTCTTCACCTCTTTCGTATCTTAAGTTCACTTTTTCGGTTCATAAACCTCTTCCATGTTTTTTTTTTTTCTATTCTTTTTCTTATAATCTTTCTTTCCCGTCCCTTCCCTCCTTCCCCTCCTCTTTCACCCTTCACAGCCGACGCCTTTGCACCTCGTATGACAACCGCTCTTACCCCCCTCCGTCCATTATACACCCTTCTCTCCCCTCCTCCCCTTTACCGGTAGCCCTCCTCCCTCCCTCCCTTCCCCCCACAGGTCAACTCTTCCCTTCCCTCCTCTCCTCCTTCTCTTTCCTCCTAAATCCTGCCTTCTCCTCTTTCCTCCACTCTCCTTCCTCCTCCCTCCCTTTCCCCTCTCCTCCTCCTCCTCCTCCTCCCCTTTCCCCCTCTCCTCCTCCTCCCTCACCTCCCCTCTCCTCCTCTCCTCCCCCTTCCCCTTCCTCCTCCTCCTCCCCCCTTCCCCCTCCCTCCTCCTCCTCCCCTTCCCCTCTCCTCCCCCCTCCCTTCCCCTCCTTCCCCTCCCCCTCCCCTTCCCCTCCCTTTCCTCCCCTCCTCCCTTCCCTCTCCTCCTCCTCCTCCCCTTCCCTCTCCTCTCCCCCCCCCTCTCCCTTCCCTCTCACCTCCCTCCCTCCCCTACCACCGCCCTCCCCCTCCTCGCCAGTTCATCGTTCCGGGAACACAAGTCACTCTGCCCTCGATCCTGACACTCCAATGTGTCTGTGTCTGTCTGAATGGCTGGCTGGCTGCCCGCCCCCCCTCCTCTCTCCTCTCTTCTCTCCTCTCATCTCTCCTCTCTCTCTTCATCGTTCTCCTCTCTCCTCTCCTCTCCCTCCTCTCTCTCACTCCTCCTCCCTCTCTCCTCACACACTCCTCAGGTTCAGACATTGATGCCTCACTCTCACCCTCACTCTTCCCTCACTCTTCTCTCTCATCTTCACTCCTCCTCCATCCCGCCCATCATCATCATCTCTCCTCTTCTCTCTCTCTCCTCCCTCTCTCTCTCCCCTCTCCCTCTCTCCCACACACCCTCTCGTTCTCCCTCCTCCGTCTCTCTCTCTCTCTCCTCCCTCGCTCATCCTCTCTCTCCTCTCTCTCATCTCTCATCTCTCCTCCTCACCTCCTCCCTCTCTTCTCGCCTCTTCTCCTCTCTCTACCATCCCTCCACCTCTCCTCTCCCATCTAAACATGAGTTCTCTCTCTTCTCTCCTCTACTCTCTCTTCCTCTTTCTTTCCTCTCTCGGGCTATTCTCATCCTCCGGAGCCCCGTCCGACTGCACCTTTCCGGTGCGCTCGCTCCCTCCCACGTTATCTTATCTCTCCCTTCCCTCTCCTCTTTCTTCTTTTCTCTCTTTCCTTTCCTCCCCTCTTCCATCTCCCGTCCTTCTCTTTCTCTTCTCACCCCTTCCTCCTCCTCGTCTTCCCCTTCTCTCTCCCTCCCTCGCTCATTTCTCCTTTTCTCTCCTCCGGCTCCTACTCCTCACCTTTCCTCTCTCCTCCTTCTCCCTCCTCACTTCTCTCCCTTTCTCCTCCTCTCCTCTCTCCCCACTCGTTCCCCCTTCTCTTTTTCTCTCTTTCCTCTTTCTCTCTCTAATCTCTCCCTTCTCTCTATCTTCTTTCTCTTTCCTCTCCTATCTCTCTTTCTCTCTATCTCCCTCGTTTCTCCTCTCTCTATCTCCTTTCCTCTCGTTTCTCCTCTTTCTCCTCTTTCTCTATCTCCTCTTTCTTTCTCTCTATTCCCTCTTCTCTCTCTCTTCTTCTCTTTCTCTCTCTTTCTCTCTTCTTTTTCTAAATCTCGCTCTTTCTCTCTCTTCCCTTCCCTCTTTCTTCTCCTCTCTCTCTCTCTCTCTCCTCTTTCTCTCTCTCTATCTCCTCTTTCTCTCTCTCCTCTATCTATCTCCTTCTCTTTCTCTCTATCTATCTCCTCTTTCTCTCTCCCTCTCTATCTCGCTCCCTCTCTCCCTCTCTTATGGGTGCGTGTACTGTATGTTTTATTAATCGCTGCTAGAGGGCACTGGTATGCCTGTCTGTATTTCAAAACCTTTACAACAGTCCATTCACGTATCAATAAACTCCAAACATAACAAAAGAAAAAAAAACAATTATCCAAATATAAATTCCTAGGAAAAAAGAAGAGAAACACACCGACAGAAACAAAAGCATAAACAAAGAGCATTTAACCATCACGCAACGGAATTAAGCAACGAGTTAATACCATTCGTGGGATCTCGTTGTGCCTGGCGCTGATGAACCTCTTTTATGCGTTCGAACCCTCATTCCCGACCCGTTTCGGAGCATCGAAACGCTTCATTCGGGATCCGAGCGAATGCAGCCCGGAGGAGAGCGTGTCAACAGAGGCGACCGACGCGTGTTTAGCCACTGGGAAATTAGGCTTTGTGGCACGCGCTCCGTAAGGCCTTGTCGTCACGTCCGGGCCATGTAAAGATCGCTACAATGAAAGAGTAAAATGGAAGCCAAATAAAAAAAGGGGGGGGGGGAGAATGAAAGGCGAAAAAAAAGAAATTGGGGCTTCAATTCAAGTTTCTATATTGTTTCACCGTGGAGGGAAACAATGGACGGAAAAGTGCACAATGCAACTTAATTTCCAGTCTCTCTCTCTCGCTCTCTCTCTTGCATCTAATTCCCATCTCTCTCTCTCTCTCTTCTCTCTCTCTCGTCTCTCTCTTCTCTCTTCTCTCTCTCTCTCTCTCTCTCTCTCTCTCTCTCTCTCTCTCTCTCTCTCCCTTCTTTGCCATGATTCTCAGAAACCGAGCCCAAAGACACAATAACAAAAGAACAAAGTGGTAATCAACGTTTAAGGTAATTCCGCCATTATCCACCTAGCACTAGGGCCTGGGGTCTGGGGTCTCGGGGGGGTCTGTGTCTTGGGGTCTGTTGGTAGCGCCGACTTAGAGGAAAATCGTACTTTATTTTTTTTCTTCTTCGTGTTTTCTTTTCTTTAACCAGGTCCGTGTTTTTTTTTTTTCTTTCTTTCTTTTTTTTGGGCTGGATCTTTACCGGTTCTCCTTCTCCTCTTTCTCTCCCTCCTTTTTTCCTCTTTCCTTCTCTTCCCCATCCCCCTTTCTCCTAAGCCTCCTTACGAGTCCCTTTCTTCATCCTCCCCACCATCCCCCTCCCTCTCTCCCTCCCTCCATCCTCCCCACCATCCCCTCCCTCCCTCCCCACCACACATCCCCATCCCCTCCCTTATTCCCTTCCACTCCATCACTCCCTACTTCTTAAGACGCCGAAACGACAAGCGACCTCCTTGAGCCCTAAACCAAGGACTCCCTCGCTCCTTCGCACCTCCCTCGGCCGCACGCGGGTTTCAATATTTACCTCGGCTCATTAGGGCGATAATCGCTCTTCTCCTGAGTTATCATTGTGAATTTTAAAAAAGAAAAAATGGTGGGGAGGGGGGGTGGAAGGAGGGAGGGAGGGGGGATGTAGAGAGGGATGGAAGGTGGGAGGGAAGGAGGGAGGGAGGGAAGGTGGGAGGTAGGGAGGAATGGAAGGTGGGAGGGAGGGGAGAGAGGGAAGGAGGGGGAAAAAAGAAGGGAGACGAGAAAAAAGTAAGGAGAAAGAAGGGTGAAGGATAAGGACGCGGAATAGGTGAAGAAACGAGGAGAATGGAAAGAAGCTGAGGTGAGTAATGAAGATGGGAAGGGGTAGTAAGAGAGAAAAAAGAGGGAGAGCGGAAACCCAAGATATGAAGAAGATGGAGGAGATGAAGGAGGAGGGGGTGCGAGGAGGAGGAGGAGAGGAGGAGGAGGAGGAGGAGGAGGAGGAGGAGGAGGGAAGGAGGAGAAGGAGGAGAAGAGAAGAAGAAAACGAATTTTTTGAGCGAAAACAGGAAAGTAACCGACGGTTCATGAATATAAAAGGAAAGAGATGAGAGAAGAACACCTAAGACGAAAGAGAGGAGAGGAAAAGATGGACGAACAAGAGATGAGAAGAGAAGAGAAGAGAAAAGGGGGAGAGGAGGAGAGCAGAAGACGAAGATGCTTGCGGGAGGCTGATGCTAATCTTTCTTGAGGAGTTTTCCACGCTTATCCACGATGGCCTCAGCGTCATCCTGCGGGCTTAGCTGTGGCACCCAGGCAGAAAAGGGGAAGAGGTGGAGGGAGGGAAAGGAGGGGAGGGGATGGGGAGGGAAGGGAGGAGGGAGGGGAGGGGGTGGAGGGAAGGGGGGGAAGGGGTGAGGAATGTAAGGGGGAGGGAAGAGAGGGAAAGGAGGGAAGGAGGCAGAAAGGAGAAGGGTGGAGGGAAGGGGGGGGAGGGGAGGAAGGATGGGAAGGGATGGGTGGAGGGAAGGAGAGGGAAAGGGGGGAAGGGAAGGCAAGAAGGGGAAGGGGTAGGGAGGAAAGGGTGGGAGAGAGAGAAGAGAGAGAGAGAGGAGAGAGAGAGAGAGAGAGAGAGAGAGACGAGAGAGAGAGAGAGAGAGAGAGAGAGAGAGGGAGGGGAGGAGAGAGAGAGAGAGAGAGAGAGAG